ACTACCTGGTCAAATGGGGAATCAAGCATTCCAGAGCATCCGTGGCGTACCCTCAGGCGAATGGCCAAGTAGAGAATATGAACCGTACTGTCATGGATGGCATGAAGAAAAAGCTGGAAGAATACTCCTCATCGTGGCCCGATCAGTTAAACTATATCCTATGGACTTACAGGACCACACCCCGAACGGCCACGGGAGAAACTCCATTTGCCCTCGCATATGGTTTCCAGGCCAAAGTACCAACGGAGATCCTAGTTCCCACACACCGAACGGTGCATAACATCCCAGAACAGAATGAGGACAACTTACGGGCCGAATTGCATTTTATAGAAGAAAGAAGGGATCTGGCAGCTGCACGAATGGAAGAGTATCACAGAGCCACAAGAAGATATTTTGATAAGCAAGTTAAAGTTCGTTCAATCGAGGTAGGGGACCTAGTGCTAAGGAAGCGAGAAAAAAGCAAACCTCTCGAAGGTGGAAAAATGACACAAAATTGGGAAGGCCCTTACCAAATATGTAAGAAGTATGCTTCAGGAACGTTTGGCCTACAAAGTACCGAAGGCCGACCGGCAGGTACTTGGAATGTGGAACATCTAAGGAAATTTTATCAGTAAAAACGTCTGTTGCCACCTCTAAAAAAAACACTCACTCAAAACCTTGTTTCTGAACCGACCATCTCTTCTCAGGGACACGAAATCAAAACCTTGTCTCTGATACCAACTATCACGGACCTATTCTCAAACCCGTGCGGCACTAGCAACACTCACTCAAACTATGCTAGTCAGCCTAACTCTTGCGGAAACTAGGACACCGATTGTGGAGAAGCTTGTACAAATGCTTTATTGCTCTCAAGCTTTCGATGATACAAATGAGCCATCCATGAGGGGTATTTATACTTGTCCTCCTCCTCAATGGACGGCTTAGATCTACTTGATCTAACGGCTACAATTCAATTCTAGAGTATTCTATATAACTCTATGATATTCTAGAGTATTCTACTCTATTATATACAAGTGTACACTTATTTACACGAGTCTAGAATGTTCTCTTAGCCTCCAGGATTCTGCCCCTCTCTCTGAGCAAGTTCTAGACTCCAGCTCGCCTCCAGGTCTCGGTATGCCGCGACCTATGCCACTAAATGCCGCAGCGTTCAGGAGAGTCGTGACATTCTTCCCCACTCAATCTCACGACGTCCTCGTCGTGGTCTTCTTGTAAGCCTCTATCAAATCCTTGTAGTTCCACAAGGTTAACTCGTGTTCCCAACTTGCCTCACTATCTGGAGCATCCTTCCACTTGATGAAGTACTCCACGTAGCTCGGGTGTGCGCCTCTCCTTGGTATGACTCTATGAGCCAATATCTCTCCAACCTCGCACTCGGGAATATTCGTTATAGCTGTCAGTGCTCTCCTCGAAATGCCCCTACTCGGATCCTCCTTGTCTTCCTTGTAGGGCTTAAGCAAGCTCACGTGAAACACCGGATAAATCTCCAAGTGTGAGGGTAAGGTCAAGCGATAAGCAAGCTTACCAACCCGCTTCTCTATGGGAAACGGACCCTCATATCGCCGCACCAGCCCCTTGTGCAGCTTGGCGAACGTATACTTCTGGTGGGAAAGGAGCTTCACTAGCACCAAGTCTCCTTCCTCAAACTCCAAGTCTCTTCTCTTAGCACCGACCCACTTCTTCATCTTCTTCGAAGCCTTAGCTAAGTATGCCTTTGCCATGTCGGCCTTCTCATGCCATCCCTTGGCAAACTTGAACGCGGATGGACTCGGACCTCGATATCCCACGGTCAAAGAGTGCGGAGTAGCCGGCTGCTGCCTTGTGGCAATCTCGAATGGACTTGCCCCCGTCGACTTACTCCTTTGCAAATTGTATGAGAATTGGGCTATGTCAAGCAACTTTGCCCAATCTCACTAGTTCGCACTCACGTAATGCCTCAAGTACAACTCCAACAAGGCATTAACCCTCTCGGTTTGGCCGTCGGTTTGGGGGTGAAAGCTCGTAGAGAAGTTAAGCTCGGACCCCATTATCTTGAACAGCTTCATCCAAAACTTCCCGGTAAAAGGAGTATCTCGGTCGCTTACGATGGTCTTCGGTATGCCCCAATACTTTACCACATGCTTGAAGAATAAGCGTGCATCATCTTCAGCGGTGAACTTCGTAGGGACAGGAATGAACACTCCATACTTACTAAACCGATCCACCACGACTTCTCCGGTGTGGGCAACGGCTCCAGCGACCCCGCTGGCTGTTGTTGATCCACCTTGTCTTGTTGGCACACAAGACAAGTATTCACGTACAATTCTACTTCTTCCTTCATTTGGGGCCAATAGTACGTACGTTCTATCAGTGCCATCATGCGTCTAATTCCGGGATGTCCAGCCCATCTCGAATCGTGGTACTCCTTGATGATCTCCTTCCTCAATCCTTGCCACTTCAGCACATAGATCCGATCTCCCTGGGTCATGAGCAACCCCTCTCTAAGCCAAAACTGGCGTGTCTTCCCTTGACTTGCCAACTCCATCAGACTCTTGGCCTTTGGGTCATGCTCCAGTCCCTCCTTGACTCGATCCACCTAAGGGAAACTCGGACTTGTGATGGCAGCTAGCTCAGCCTTCCTACTCAATGCGTCGGCCACATTGTTTGTCCTCCCCGGCTTATACTCCATCACAAAGTCACTCCACAAGAAAGTCTTGCCATCTTGCTTGCTTCGGTGTCAACTTCTTTTGATTGAGGAAATAACTCGTCGCCACGTTGTCCATCTTCATTTCTTCTAACTCGGGCGGTGCTATCCTATATGGCACGCCCGCTGGTAGTGTAGACCCGGAGATCAACTCGATCTTATGGTCTACGTCTCTCTTAGGCGGAAGTCTCTTCGACAACTCGGACGACATCACGTCCTTGAACTCTACGAGCACCTTAGCCACTCCCTCTGGCATATCCCTTGTCGGCACTGGTTCCTCCTTCAAGATGGCTAAGTATGTAGGTCGCCGCTTCCTCATGCCCCTAGCAAGTTGCAAGGCCGAGATTTGCTTGGATTGGATCCTCTCCTCCCGGGATAGCTTTACCATGCAAGTCTCACCCTCCTTCGTTATGCACATAGTGTTGGCAAACGGAATCGGTATTGCCTTCACCGAATCCATGAACTCCATGCCCAACACGATAAGATAGTCGTCCATAGGAACGACCGAAAAATCAATCAAGCCACTCCACTCGCCCAAGGTAACCCTAACCCAACGAGCCACTCCATAGATTGACTTAGGCTGTGAATTAACAGCTTTCAGCCAACCATGGTCTTCAACATAGGGGATGCCCAATCTCTTTGCCTCCTTAACTTCTAAGAAGTTGTATGAAGCACCAGTATCAACAAGAGCTTTAGTTGTTTGTCCCCGTACCTTAGCTTCCACGAACAAACGCCCCTTCTTCTCCGTCTTGGTCTCGGTTACCTTGGCCTTAATGGCGTTGAGAATGTGAAGGGAACCGACCATGGCTTCCTCCCATTCTCGTTCCTCTCTTTCTTCAACTAAGGCCGAGAGCTTGGCCTTCTTCGGGCAATCCTTTGCCTTGTGTGGCCCATCACAAAAGAAGCACTTCAACGGTCTCTTCTCCCATGTATTGGTCTCCTTTGCCCCCTTGTTCTTATCAAAGTGTTGGAAACCCTCTTTGTGTGGACGGTGGTCTCCCCCACTCTTTTCCTTGCCCTTCTCCTTAGTCGGTGGCTTCACCTTCTCTGGCTTCTTGAACTCCACCAAGGACTCAGCAATAGCAATGGCAGTGTCGAGATCTTGAGCCCCACGCCTTTGGACCTCGATCTTAGCCCAACCTTGCAACCCATCCGTAAAAGCAAAGAAAGCTTCCTTATCAGGATAGTCAGGGATATCTAGGAGTACCTCAGTAAATTCCTTCACGTATTCACGCAAGCTTCCCTTGTGCTGTAAACGTCTTAGCTTAGCTCTCGCCTCCTTTTCCGCATTCATAGGACAGAACTGTTTCTTGAGTTCACTCTTGAACTCCTCCCACGTGTTTATAGTGCAAAGACCCTTCTCTCGGTCCCCGTACTTCCTTCTCCACCACAACATGGCGGTATCCTCCAAATACATGGTTGTCGTGTCAACCTTCTTGGTATCGTCAACAATACCAAGAGCCTTGAAGTATTGCTCCATACTCCACACAAAGTTCTCTATCTCCTTAGCATTCCTAGCCCCTTTGTATGTCTTGGGTCTAGGAACATCAACCTTAGAAGGAGTAGGACTTACCTCACTCGACGATGTGCTTCCTCCTTGCACGACTGCCTTCTTGCATAGGACCAGCTCTTCCTTGGTTTCCACCAACTCGTTGGTGACCTTCTCCAACTCTTCCCGTAGTGAAGCAACCATGGTCATCAAAGTCCCCTCCAAGCCCTTGACCTCGGAAAGACACCGGTCGAGGATCTCATTGACCGCTCCTTGCACCTCACCTCGAAGATCTTCACTATTCTTCGCAAGTTCCACGATGCGTTGGTCGACTTCCTCAAACCTTTCTTCCCCATCGGCTATAGCAAGTTCTGCCTTGGCTAGCCGAGTCTCCACCTCCGTCATGGCTTCTCGAGACTTGGACCTTCCCCTCTTGGTTTGCTTCCCGGCATCCATGTGAGTTGTCTCGCTATCTGAACCGACCATCTCTTCTCAAGGACACGAAATCAAAACCTTGTCTCTGATACCAACTATCACGGACCTATTCTCAAACCCGTGCGACACTAGCAACACTCACTCAAACTATGCTAGTCAGCCTAACTCTTGTGGAAACTAGGACACCGATTGTGGAGAAACTTGTACAAATGCTTTATTGCTCTCAAGCTTTCGATGATACAAATGAGCCAGCCATGAGGGGTATTTATACTTGTCCTCCTCCTCAATGGACAGCTTAGATCTACTTGATCTAACGGCTACAATTCAATTCTAGAGTATTCTATACAACTCTATGATATTCTAGAGTATTCTACTCTATTCTATACAAGTGTACACTTATCTACACGAGTCTAGAATGTTCTCTTAGCCTCCAGGTCTCGGTATGCCGCAGCCTATGCCACTCAATGTCGGGGCGTTCAGGAGAGTCGTGACAACACCCAAATGTTTGGATTATTTGTATTAAAACGACGTCGTTTGATAATATTAAAACTCCACTCCGCTGCTCGCAGGGTGCTCACTCGACGCTCCTCTAGTCCTCGCCTCCTCCAGACGGACCATACATCCTAGCCTTCTCTCGAGTTGCAATCGCTGCCGCCCTCCGTCTCTCTGCCGGCCATTCTAGTCACCGCCGCCGCGAGTTTTTTTTACTTCCAGTCGTGATTAGCTCCAGCCTCGCAGTTCCATACTTCTACTGGCTCCCGTGGCACCTGTTCACCACTGCACCAGCGGTCCAGCTTGCAGAATCCACTCAATCCACTGCTACATCTTGGCACTGCCTCCGCGACCGCTCCTCCACTCCTGGTGTTTGGTCAGTCTCATCCACAAATTAATACCTAATTCTTGCAAACCTAATATAAAATTTGCAGATACAGTTCCCAATCCCAAGTGCTTGCCATCCAACTAGATCTGAAATTTTATTGAATGTATCAACTATGAACGCGGGCTCTACAATTTTGGCCAATGGTTGGTTAAATTTATTGATGTCTTGCTTAATTTATTTGGTGATACGGTAGAATTGTTTTTGCTTAGTTTATTTGTGTTATAGCCAAGATTTTTAGGAAAACTGTATCCCATTTATAGAATTATTTATGAATGTCATGACTATTTATTTAAACAGTTTGGAGAATCTAATAGACAATCTGAATCAATGCTGTAATTTGATGTTGATAAAAGTACAAGTGTATAATTGTTGCATCACTCCATATCATTGTTCATAGTTTTTAATTTTAAAAGTAATCTGCAGCTCCAAGCTTCTAATAGCAATTTGTATGTGGTACATCCGCCACTGTGTGATTGCCACCCAATAGAAAAATGCAGCTCCAAGCTTCTAATTCATATTATTTTGTCTAACATCCCTCATTTTGCATTTTCATTATAGGAGGGAAGACAACTACAATTCTCATCAATGGAGGCTTCTTCAATTCTCTCCACAGTGTATCCTCTACCCCTTCCTCTTCATTCTTCCCTCCCTCCCTCCATCAAATCCCATTTCTGCAATCATGCCATCTCTCCCAACTACCCCCTCAAACTCAGCACCCGGCCATCCAAGACTAGAACTTTAACCATCCGGTCAGCCATCAGTAGAACCAAAAAGGAAGAGACTGTTGAGGCAGTGAAACAGCAGCTCCAAGACTGCTACCTTCTGGCTGGAATCAGTTACAAAGGGTTCACAGTAAAGCAATTCCAAGATCTCCGTACACAGCTCCCTGAGACCACAAAGGTTATTGTCGCAAAGAACACTTTGGTGCTCAAAGCCATTGAAGGGACTCAATGGGAGGCACTGAAGCCATGTATGTCAGGCATGAATGCTTGGCTATTTGTTCATAGTGAAGAAATCCCTGGTTCTTTGAAACCCTACAGAACTTTCCAGAAGGAGCAGAAGCTGGATGGTAATGACTTTACTGGCGCCGTTTTTGAGGGAAAATTCTATGGGCCTGATGAGTTTAAGTCCCTGGAGAATTTGCCTTCTCGGGAAGAGATCTATGCTAAGCTTTTGGGCTCTTTAAAGGGACCTGCTTCTGCCGTTGTGGGGACTTTGCAGGCTCCTGCTAGGAACTTGATAATGGTGTTGCAGGCCCATGTCAAGAAGTTGGAAGAAGAAGGTCAATAATTGATGGCATTGGCCGGAAATGGTATGTAATTTGTATTCTTGCTGATGTTCGAGAGAAATGTCATGTTGTACATTTACCAAATTTGTTGTGTAATTCCAACTTGATTGATGTAATTGCTCAATTCTTTGAGCTCTGTTGTCTAGCAGTTATGGTGTTTTACTTCTTAAGATGCAATGCAATAGCTGTTTGCTGATTAAACTTGAAATCTAACCTTTATCTGCAATTTATAGTTCAATGCTTGTTCTCTTTGTTCCATTCCACATATTGCAAACTATCATAGATGTGAGACTTATTATTGGAGTTTTTTTCATTCCCATTGGAATGGTAATAAGATGTGCCTTAATGCAGCATAATATTGGCTATTAGGGTTGTGTTTGAATCAGGGGAGTCTGAAGGAGAGTTCTCTTGATCTTCCGTGGTTGGAAGATCAAGTACATGGAGTATTTTGTGTGTGGTGTCGCCATGGCTTACATTGTGCAGCAACAAGCATTTTGTTACATGGAGTCTCTTGACTACCAATCTACCTCCATCTCAAATCAATAGTGATATCTTGTTAATCATGTTGAATAAGAAGATGAGATAAAATATCTATAGTATCATTTCCTTTTACTGCAGTAGCTTGGGAGAATATAAATAAAAATAGTTGCAAAGTAAATGAAGTTGAGAAAGTTTAATAAGCAAGGTCTATATAAATAGGAGTAAAAATTAATATCAAGCACTGTGCAATCGATAATATGAATATTAATATACACAAACTCAGATGAGCACGAGCCAGAACATAGATAGCACTGATCTCGTAGACATAGGAGATCGACTGAGTACATATATTGATATATCAATAGACAAATTAAAAGTTGCAAACTGTTACATTGAGAGTACATAAATAGAACTCCGTATGCCAAACTTCCAAATAAAAAATGTGATATTCCAAACTATGAATACTATAGTTTTCCATGATTAAGTATATTAGTGCCATGATAAAACCATACAACAAATATTAAGTATATTAGTGATATGTTATTTTATGAATTATGACAGTAATTACTCATATTTATAGTAATGAGATTTAAAAATACACTTTATTTAGTACGGAGTAAAACATATGGAGCACTACATATGAAAGAAATGAAACATGATTAGAGGAGGAAAAGGGTGAGGAGATTGAAGATTATGAGTGTATCAATATGAAATCCAAACATTGGGTAGTTAATATTGTCCCATGCAAGGCGGCGGGGTAGGATGAGCGGCGGCTTGATGAGTTGCGCACCGCTCCTTCCTACGGGGGGCTTATTATTATTATTATTATTATTATTATTATTATTATTATTATTATTATTATTATTATTATTATTATTACCATGAAAATTGTTAGCAGCGCCTCCGCCAGTAACGACGGGGGCCTTCGAAAACTTTGATGCACTAAGGCGCGCAGCGCGGCTTAGTGGTGGTGCTTACGGCCCCGTGGGCGGGTTCTCCTATGAAATAATGGAAAAGGTTACTCCCTGAGGAGCCCTGGCAGATATATTTATATTAGAGAGAGTTTAATGTAAAGTACAATATTGAGCCTATAATAATTCTATTACACCCCCTCAAACTGTGCGGGAGATACAACGCACATGTTGTCTTTCAAAAAATGAAAACGTTGACTAGATAGACTTTTAGTAAAAATATCTGCCAGCTGTAGATGAGTAGGAACATGTTGAACAACCAGATCTCCATGAGCAACCCGTTCGCGAACAAAATGATAATCAATCTGAATATGTTTACTGCGAGCATGCTGAACTGGATTTGCAGTCAAGTAAGAAGCAGATATATTATCACATAATAAATGTACCGGCTCGGAGATAGGCCATCCAAGTTCGAACAGGACTGAGCGGATATGTAGTGTGTCTTGTACTGTGTAAGCAATGGCACGATATTCCGCTTCTGTGGAGGACTTGGACACAGTGGGCTGCTTCTTAGCCTTCCAGGAAACCAAATTAGGACCCAAAAATACAGCAAAACCTGTGGTAGACCGAGAACTATCAGGACAACATGCCCAATCTGCATCGGAGTAAGCAACTATACAGGTTGGCCGATTAGACTGCTGAAGCCAAAGTCCATGATCTCGTGTTCCCTGCAAGTATCTGAAAATTCTTTTGACTGCAAAAGATGAGTGGTACGAGGAGCATGCATGAACTGAGACACTAAGTGTACTGCATAAGTAATATCTGGCCGTGTCAAAGTTAAATATTGTAATGCACCAACCATGCTGCGATACTCAGTAGAATCAGATAATAACTCACCATCAGAAAGAGACAGAGTGGTACGGGAAGCTAACGGGGTGCGAACAAGTTTGACAGTATGAAGGTGAAAACGAGCTAGAAGGTCAGTAACATATTTATGTTGAGAGAGAAACAAACCTTTAGCTGAACGAATGGCCTCAAAACCCAGAAAATAATGGAGATTACCCAAGTCTTTCATAGCAAAATGTTTAGATATAATTGAAATAAATTGGGTAACAGAGAATTCAGAATTGCCAGTAATAATAATATCATCCACATATAGTAATAAATAAATAATAGTATTATTCTGGCGGTATATGAACAAAGAATTGTCGGATTTGCTACAGGAAAAATTATGTTGTAGAAGAAAGCTACTAAATCTATGAAACCAGGCTCGTGGAGCTTGCTTAAGGCCATAAATGGCCTTGCGCAGACGACATATATGATTAGGAAAGTGAGGGTGAATAAAACCACGAGGCTGCCGCATATAAACTTCTTCTGTCAGATTCCCATGTAAGAAGGCATTTTTAACATCAAGTTGTCGTATACCCCACCCAAAAGAAATAGCTAGAGTAAGTACAATACGAACAGTGGTGGATTTAACGACAGGACTAAAAGTTTCAGAGAAATCAATACCTGCCTGCTGATTAAAACCCTGTGCAACTAATCGAGCTTTATGGCGCTCTAAGGATCCATCAGAATGATATTTAGTTTTATAAATCCACTTACAACCAACAATATTTTTAGAGTTATCAAAGGGCACCAAGTCCCACGTATTATTATTAATGAGTGCATTAAATTCATCAGCCATCGCCTCACGCCATTTTAATTGTTTATTTGCCTCAGTAAAACAGGTAGGATCTGCATTGATAGTAACTGTACTTAAATTAAAAATGGTTTTAGGCTTAAAAATTCCTGACTTAGCACGGGTTTGCATGGGATGGTGATTAACTACCGTAGTGAACGTAGGTGAGGTGGTTTCAGGTGAGACAGTGTCGTTTGATGTTGTCTGTGGCGTGCTAGACGAAGTATGGGAGGAGAGATGTGATGGTGGGGGGCTGGTTGTGGACGTGGGATAGGAGGAATGGGGCGACGGTACACACGGAGTGATAGGAATACTTGGTGACCGAGGTGGCGATGATGGGGTTGGTGCTGGTGCGGCCGTAATTGTGGGAACAGGCTGGAGAGGTGGGTCAAGAGTGATATCGGTGAGATGCATAGGAGATGGTGTAGTAGAAATAGACCTGGATGGAGCAGACGAGAGAGTTTTAAAAGGATATGTGTCCTCATGAAACCTAACATGACGGCTAACATAGACTCGACCTGTGAAAGGATCCAAACAACGATAGCCTTTATAACCGGATGCATAGCCAAGGAAAACACACTGAACTGAACGAGGTGATAATTTATTGGCTGAGGTGGCATTAAAATTTGGATAACAGGCAGAACCAAATACTCGCATAAAGGAGTAATCTGGAACTCGGTTAAACAGTTTTTGATACGGAGTAAGACCATTTAAGGTAGGAGAGGGTAATCTATTAATAATATATGCAGCAGTAAATATGGCATCGACCCAATAGTGACTCGGAACCGAAGCTTCAAGAAGCATAGTCCTAGTTAACTCAAGTAAATGACGATGCTTGCGCTCAGCAACCCCATTCTGTTGAGGTGTGTCAGGGCAAGATTTTCTAAAGTAAATGCCATTAGCAGAGAAAAATTGCTGCATATTATTATTAACAAATTCACCTCCCCCATCACTTTGAAAAATTTTAATTTTCTGATTACAAAGATTTTCAACCAAAGCTTTAAAATTTTTAAAGTGCATGAAAACTTCATTTTTGTGACACGTGGGATATATCCAAGTATAACGAGAAAAATCATCAATGAAACATACATAATACTTGAATCCCAAATTTGAATACACAGGTGACTGCCACACATCAGAATGAATAATTTCCAAAGGAAAAATAGAATTATGACTAGCATCGATAAAAGGTAAACGTTGTGATTTTCCTAAACGACAGGCCACACACTCATGAGTAAAGGGAGTATGACTACATAAAAACTGTTTTCTCTTAAGAAACTGTAAAGTACTATCACCACAGTGACCTAATCTACGGTGCCACACAGGACCAGAAGCTAAAACGGAAGCAAAAACTAATGGTGATGCAGACGGCAGATGGAGAGGATAAAGTGGTCCACTACTAGTAGCTCGCAGAAGTATTGCCCCCGTTGCTTTGTCCTTAACCAAGAAAGAATTTTTATCAAAAATTACAATACAATTATTATCAGCACAGAGCCTTTTAATGGAAATTAAATTATATTTTAACTGAGGCACATGATAAACGGATTTTAAAGTGAGAGGACGACCAGATGTAGGTAAAGCAACATCACCAATATTACATATGGGAAGATGGGCACCATTGGCAACACTAACAGAATTATAGCCGGTGTAGGGAGATTTATTAACTAAATTACCTTCAGATGCAGTCATATGAGCAGAAGCTCCTGAATCAGGAAACCATAGAGCAGGAGTAGTGTCACCGGGAGTAGTCAACAGAGCAGGAGACGTCGGTTGTGTGAAACGAGAAGGACAGTTAATGGCAGAATGACCTGCAGAAAAACAAATTTGACAGACAACAGGATGGGGAACAGATCCGAGAATACCTCCGTCTGATGGCAAGCCTGTATGACTACTGTTAGTAACACAGATAGGTAAAGCATTAATATTTAAACGTGACACAGCAGAATTACAAATAACAGTACCCGTAGATGTCACACCCCCTGCAGGAGTACTCGGCTGCCCACCCCCTCCGGGGTAATAAACTGGATGCCCCTGGGGGAACCAATATGCCTGCTGCTGCTGTCCTCGGCCACGCCCCCTGCCTCCGCGGCCTCTGCCGCGCCCACGTCCTCGCCCGCGCTGTGGAGCGCCGTTCTGCCGAGCCTGCCCGACCGGGTAAGTCTGCTGCCCGATCGGGTGAGTGGATCCTGA